TGTAATACCCCAAAATTTTGTGCTATTTTAGCATTTAAGTAAGGGTTTTTGTGTGAGAAAATATTGTTTTGGGCCTAATAGCCAACATTCCCAAACTCGAGGGACTTAAAAGTGAAAGACATTTGGATAAGGATGAACTTCTTTTCTTTTTCTTTTTTCTTCTTTCTTTCCTTCCCAGCCTTGCGTGTTTCTGCTCTTCTTTTCTCCCCTACAGCTCTTGAATTTCCCCCAAGCAAGCCGCCGGCACCAGCCTTGAGGAAACCGGTAGGAAGCTTGGATTTCTCCTTATTTTCTTGTTCTAGAACTGAAAAGGGAACCCAGAAACCTTCTCCCCCTGCTGGAAATCCGGATCTGCTGCTGCTCTGCTCCTCACCGCCGGCTGTTCCTTGCTTGTGGGTGCGAATTGCCTTGATTTTCTGGTAAGAACAGCCCCTAATTCCTTTGTTCTTCCTTGAATTGGCTTGGGTTTGCGTTAATTCCTCTTGGTTCTCCATTTTTGGGTAGATTTCCCCTTGAATTTCCCCTGCAGATGCCGCCGGCTCTTCCCCCAAACTGTAGTCCGGTTGTGCTAGGAAAATTATGGTATGTGACAGCCATTTAAGCTTAAAATTACCCATTTAGTTGCTGTCTTGTTATGTCCGAATTTTACAGAAAAATGGGGGATAATTCCGGTAGTTTTAGGACAAGTTTAAGTGTTAATTCAAGTGGGATTTATGTGATTGAGTGTTAATTGATTGATGTGTGATTTTTTGGAGAGAAAACCCCGTGATTAGCTAGTGTTTTGGCCAATTTTTGGATGTGCAGTTACTGTTCACGTCGGGGTTACTGTTCACCGGCTACTGTTCACACCCCGAGAGTCGACAATTAACGGGGATTTAAATGATTAGTTTGTGATATAAGAACGAATTTGGAGATATTTGATCATGTGGAGATTTATGGAAATAGCTTTGTGATTAGGAATGATCTTAATGATGATTTCAGTGTAAATTTGTGATAGTGGTATTAATTCTTGAAATATCTTGATTAGGTTCTTGATCGTCCTGTCAGTTTAGTACGTGAATTGAGTGCTCGGTTTTATGCGAGTGAGGTAAGTAAATTTATGGTAATGCCTGTACTGTTTTAAAAGCATGTTTTGA